CCTTTCACAGAGTGCTTTCTACTTTCCCGTGTCACAGCTGTGCCTCTGTATCATTGCAGTCTTGTTCTATTTCATATTTTAACTTATTTTATTATTTCACTTACCTGCTGGCTAATTGCTTTATTTGCCAAACTGCTTTTCTATTATCATCTTTACTCTCTTGTGTTTATTTGCAAAGTAAAACAATTAGCATAAGGCACATGTAAAATATGATCTGTTCGGAATAGAGTCCCTGGCATCCAGGTATGTGAACATGAAGAACTCTTCCCTTTGGACAGAATAATGTTCTGATGAATATGTAACAGACTAAGAAAACACAGTGCTGTGGTTTTCCCCTCTGATTATTAAAACCTAATAGTCACAGTTTTAGGACTTTGTGGCTAGAATGGAATACAAATGCTTGAAAGATTTTCCAAAGCACTGTTTGTGCTTTTCAACACACAATATAGGAGACATTTTCCACATTTTCGTTCCTTCCATGTATCTTTGCATAGTAACTAATTTGAACAAAACACCATATTAGTGCACTAGTTAGTTGAAATGCAATTGTCTTAGTCACAAATAACACTGGAACTAAAACTCACAGTGGCCACAGGAAATGCAAATCCAGTTGTAATACTGTGCTGGTGCAGTAACATTTATATTTATAACTACCATGCTTGTGATTTAATAGCTCATTGCTTGTACTAGGAACTTTCAATATGATATGATATGTCAGAATGAAACCTAAAATACCACATTCCACTTCATCAAATTCTGTTTTTGGCTGGGACYATTCATATCAAGATGAATTTTGGGCCAGCAAACAGAATAAAAGGAAGCCTTACTCTGCTGAAGGAAAAAGCGTACATTATTCACATAACCTATAAAAGCCTAAGTAAATACTGATGCAATATTCATGGCTGTGCTCATGGAAGAGAAAAAGATTGTTTACATCAAAATTCAGGTGTCGGTACTATGATGTTGTGACAGTTCATCACGAAAGACACTCATAGGATAACAGGTGCTCCCCTGCTTCTTTCATCAGTAACAGAACAGTGTGGGTTGCCAATGGAGAAGGTCTTTCCTGAAAAGGAGCAGCAGTTGTGAAAACACCAGAACAGAGCAACTTCAAAGCCTTCCATACTGAATGATCCAGGGGATGCCAGGAGGTTGTGAAGAAACAGCCCTTCACTGCCTGCCTCAGCAATTGTAATAGAAAGGGGTCAGTGCCTCTTTGTTCTGACAGCCCTCTCACCTCCAACACCTTCAGTCCACCCTCTGCTCTTGGCCACCACTGTTCCATCCCTTTCCAAACCACACAGTGCAAGTGGGCACACATCCCTGATCAACATCTAGGAAAATCATAGAATCAGAGAATAGTTTGGGTTGGAGAAGACTCTTAAAAGTAATCTAGTCCCACTCACTTGCCATGGATAGGAACAGCTTCGATTAGAATAGGTTGATCAGAGCCCTGTCCAACCTGACCTCAGATGTTTCCAGAGATGAGGCATCTGCCACCTCTCCAGGCAACCTATTCCAGTGTTTTATCACCCTCATCGTAAAAAAACTTCCTCCTTATATTTAATCTAAATCTAGCCTCCTCAGTTTGAAGTCATTACACCATGTCCTGCAGTGACACATCCTGCTAAAAAGTTTGTCCCCATCCTTCTTACAGATCCCCTTAAGTAACCGAATGGCTGCAATAAGGTCTCCCCAGAGACTTCTCCAGGCTGAACAACCCCAACTCTCTCAGCCCGTCCTCATAGGAGAGGCGCTCTACCCGGCTGATAATTGTCATGGTCGTCCTTGCTCTCAGTTCCACATGCTTCTCATGCTGGGGGCACTGGAGCTGAACGCAGTTTTGCAGGCGGAGTGTCAGGAGAGCAGAGCCCGGGAGCAGATTCGCCTCCTGCGGCCCCTGGGCCAGCTCCCATCCTGACTGCGTGAGYCGCTCCCTCCCCCGAGAGCTCCGTGAAAGGCAAACAGCGCTTCCCGCCGGCTCTAGGTGTCACCCTCCCCGCACTGTCGCACAGCCACATCCAGCACGGCACCGCGCACTGCGTGTAAGGCATTCCACGCATTTGGTACTGCAAATCATCTGCCGGGAAGCTATGTCTTATAGAAATAGCTGAGTAAGAGCCTTTCCAGATACACAGAAAAATACGTTCATGGACTTGGCTCTAGTATTCAGAAGCACAATACTTTTTAAGAAACTGGACTAACTCCCAGAAATGTGTTAATCCATGGAGCTGTCCATTAACAAATTGCTTGCCTCTGTGCTGGCCAATGCTATTCCAATTAAAAATGGAAAGGTTCAGAGAGCCAGAGGCTTAGGTGGTGTTTTGTGAAAACTCAGTTCTGCTATATATTGGCATTTAGATCATAGAATCATTGAACAGTTTGGGTTGGAAGGGTTCTTTTAAGGTCATCTAGTCAAACCTCYCTGCAATGAGCAGGGACATCTTCAACTAGATCAGGTTTTATTACCCAATTTTTTTTTTTGTCTCATCTTACATTGTCCCTAACTTCCCACCTAGATGGCTATGCACAGCTCACAGTCTCCTCAAAGAGAAATCAATGAACCATGCTCCATACCAGGCACAATTTGGTCTGGATCATACCAGGCATTTCATGACTATGGATCACTCTAAAGGAATCAAACTGGGGAGYAGTTTGGATAGTTAGAAAACACTGCTCAAGAGCCACTGTCAASCCATGTGAGCAAAGGAATCTCCATTCTAAGTTTGTCAAGGAGCCCCCATATCCACTCTAGCCTGCCAAGAGCTTCTTCCCCTGGCAGAAACCAAAATCAGGATACCAAAAACTATTGAAAGGGTGCCGCCAAGCTGTGCTATGAGCAGGAGGGGACCTCCAGGCTTGATCCCACTCCACACTAACAGAAGATGAGCTGCCAATGTTTTGAGCATGGTTTGCTGCTGCTTGCAGTGCGCAGATCCATACTGTAAGGCCCAGTGTTACACATCCTCATGTGTAATGAGGATGGCCCAAGATTGCCTAGTGCAAGAGGTTTTTTGGAGGCAGAAATATGGAGAGCAGTTTTAAACTGACCACTTGCCTAGTCACTAGATAGCACCTGAGGCAGAATGTGTCAGTGCAATATTACTTTTTGTTTCCAATGCTGCTGAGTGTCAGAATGCATACAAATTTGTTCATAGTACAGGTTATATAGCAAATAAATAAGAAATATACATCATAGCTGCTTATATCAGAGGAACAGAAGATATGCTACACCCTAAAGTTCTCTCCCTCACATCTCCAGATCTTTGTATACTGAGCTTGGAATAAACCACCATTTTGCAGAAGTGGGCCGAAAGAGTTGAACTGTGTTAAATATCACAAAAAAACCTGCACAATGGCATGTTATCACAATGACTTTCACTTTTTCACAATGGCCTATTGGTGATCTTTTGCAGTAGGAACTGAAGATCTCAATTCCTTCAACTTCTTTTTCCTTAGTAATAACAAGAAATGTCTGGTTTATTTGATCAAACATCAAGTTTAGTTTTCTCTTTTTATCTCAGCTCTCGATTTTGTCATATCTGACTCAGAACTTTGTTCTTCCAAAGGATTAAATTAGGTTGAGGAGAATAAAATGATCTGTCTCATAGTTCCTGTCTCTGGTGGTGGAAATTAATATCCTAAATCAATTGTTTTTACTTTCTTTGTTTGAGAAATGGAAAAGTTTCTTCTCCTTATGTAAAAAAGTTTCTTCTCCTTAAGTACAATATCCCTCTACAAATTCCTTTCCCTCAATTCCTCTTAACTATTGCGTATGCTATGTTAGGTACTAAGAATTATAAACTAGGTATGTGATTCCTATGCTCGTGGGCTTTCTTTTTATGGTCTTGTGGAATGAGAGAAACCATCAAAATGTTTTTACTTGCTTCCTCCATTCCTTCTTTTTTTCCTGCAGTGATAGTAATACATATTTTATGACAGCTCTGCCTTTCAGCATCTTACTCACAGAAGAATCAATCCCACTCCCCTAGCACTGTCTATCATAAATCCATTGATAAAATCTCTGTCATTGAAACCCCATGGTTCAAGCTGAATCAAGGTTACAGCTCAGGTGACAATCCTCCCAGACGAGGCTCTACGTGGTCTCCGCATGGCATCTGTTCTTTCATTTATCGTCTGTGCCAGGGCAGGAGAGTTCAGCTGCACAGCTGCATGGTATGTGAGACATTCAGAGCACTGATGCTTTATGAAAGCGGCCTGCAGCCATCAGACAGGAAATTATACAGGTTTCTAACAGAGGAGAGACAGATGTCAGTGTGCATTCTACTGTGGGAAGAATAGCTAGTTGTATGAAAAGAGCACTGGCCCTGATTTTGAAAGAAACAATGAGGGGCAAGGTTTGGTGCCCAAGTACTTCTGAGGAACTGCACACAAGAGTTGTTTGCATTACTCATCACTTCTTCTCACTTTTCRTAAAGCCTGTCAAATTTGGACTTTATCCTGACCATCATGGAAGGCTGCATTTAAGAAGACAATTTAATCAAAAGTGATAGTGGAAACTCTGCATGAGATTGCTAAATTCACTCGGTGTGGATATTTCTTCTTTCTATGTTTTCCAGGGGCTAGGGACTCTGTAAGAATAAGAATGTCCTTGGCTGACAATACATAACCAGCCCTTGAGCTCTCTGCCAGGATCTCCAGGATCAAAACAAGCAAAAATCAACTGAAAATGAAAAATTATTTCTTTGGAGTAATTGTTGGAAAGAGGAAGAATATAAACAGCAAAAAGAATGCCACTAATGCAGTTAATCTCATCCCAAACATGAACCTTTTCATATGATCTGAACCTTTGGTCTTATGTAGAGAAAATGAAAGCAGAGAATACCTGTGAGACAGATGTTAACACACCTAAATCCCACTTCTCAGACATCCGTATGGCAAGGTSTCCCATTCATTGACAGAAGAGAAACATATGAAATCATGAAGCATCAAGTATAAAAAAGCAGATTAAATCCTGAGCACACCAGGCACCATCCTACCTTTCCTGGAGTCCCACAGGTTTCATTCTGAAAGGAGATGGACTGGCACACAGGGGAGGTTTGAGCTCAGGAASGCATTGGCCTTGAGGGTCCACTACAACATTGACAACCTTTGGAGCCTGTTGAGGCTGGACCATGCTGTTGGTGGTCTTATACTCAGTTTGAGATGTCTGCAGGGGAAGGGGTGAGAGGTGGATCTCCTGTTTCTTTTCCTTCTCTTGTCTTAGTGACAGTTGGATCTTCTCCTTTAATCTGTACAGAACCTACAGAAAGAGAGGACAGCCCAATCTCAGTTGCCTGGTAAACGAGGCAAGGAAGGTATTGCAAATGCTGGATAAGATTGCTCCATGTGGCTTTCATGCCTATAAGGTAAGTAACAGGTTGTGTTAACAAGCATGGAGCTGATGGTTGTAAAGAGTAACTTCACTAGATCACTTTGGTAATAGTAAGGTGGTATTACTCTGAATTACTCCTCCAGGTAAGGATATGCCCCAATATCCTCAGAGAAACATTATGTATGCTGGAATAAAGCTGAAGTGATTAGTGGCCTATGAAGTTATTTAACCATCTGTTCAGAAAAGTGTGCTTTAAGACATTGACTTCTGAACACACTGTAATACCAGGATTATCTGTCCACCTATTGCTTATGAATGTGGACATCAGATATGTGCAACAAAAGCATAAGTTGTACAGGATCTTCTTCCATCAAACTCCACACTGATGTTGATGAACCCCAGCTTGATGAGGGCTGGCAGGTAGCCCAGTAATGTCACTCCAGAGTTACCCATGTTACACCTATTTAACACATTTCTTTGGTGGGCAATGTAAAAAACAATTTCTGAGACATACAATTTTCAAACATGCCTTACAACCTATGAAATTTATGAGAATTGTAAATATTGCACATAGAGGTGGAAGGCATTTGCACAGTTTTTTGAAGGTATCTGCAGATACCCTTGTACTTCCCACTTTACTTTATCTGTTCCTGTAAAGCATTTGATTTGTATTCTTGAATAAGACAAAACCTAGGCCAGAGCATTTTTTTCTCTGCAAGTCAGAAGCTCTTTGACAGCTGTTGGCTTGCTAGAGCCACATAAAGATCTATCACTCCATAGCTTTCCAGTGATGACTGGATATATCTGATGGGTTTGTTTGTTCAAGGATTAGCATTAGAGATTTAGCTGGGAACTGACCTAATGTCATTAGCAATACACCCATTAAACAAGACTTAGCTACGTAAACCATCTGTTCATTCAGAAGGGTTTAGAATTGCATGGATAAGATCTCTTTGCCATAGTTTTGCAGAAAAAAACAGGCCTACTGTGAAGCAAGGGCACTGGTAACAGTAAAGATAAACCAGGGACTTGAAATATTTTAACTGTCTTTACATCCAGACAGTGCTTTCATCTGATTTGCATCTGATAACCAGTAGACAAACAGCTCAGATACTTGTGGCCATGACAATGCTCACCATACCTTCTTGTCATTAACATGCTTTGACATAGTTTCATTAACATGTTTTGACATAGTTTCACTCCTTGGGGACCCATGGAATTATGGTTTTGACTTCCAAAACATGGACAAGTATTATATCCTATCATATTTAATAATCTATTATTAGATCCTAGCTTGACCCTAGCAGAAATTGAAAAAAAYCTAACAAATCACATTTGACCTAAGCACTGACACACTTCTCAGAAAGTGTAGCAGGGATATAACATTTTTAATGAATTCCAGATAAAGTAAAAAAAAAAACAGAAATGGCTAAAAATATATGACCAACCCAATCACCAAGCACTGTTCACAAATTTTCTCTGAAAATTGTCAGAGAATTCAGTAAACATTTCTATTTGTGGACCAGAAGTATCACACAATTCAGAGAAGGAAAACATGTAAGATATAACATTGGACAAAATTGCAAAAACTACCATATGAAAGTCAGTGGTGATGTAGTATTGTTCATCTTCTGTGGGACCACTGCACATCTCATTCAACATAATAGAATTGTGCCTAATGCTCAGAGACCTGGCCACTGAATTCATACAATGTGAATGGCAAAGCTGCTCAAAAATATGATTATTCCTTCATGTACTTACTGGTCATTTCAGTTTGAAATTTGAATATTTGATACATGAATACTGACATGGACTCTAACTGTGCACTGACAACATTCCATCAAGGTGGTGTTGCTTTTACTATCCCATAAAACTGAAATAAAGGCAGGTAAGAAGACTTCAGGGATCCTGGGACCTAAGAAGTCGAGAAGTCATCACTTATGGCCCTACACAGTTACTCTACAGATTTAAGAACCTGTTATTTATTTCTTCAGCTTCCTTCTAGTTACATTCTTCATTCAACTCAAAATACATCAAGAAATGTGATTCTTCAAACTTTGGTTTCCCAGCATTATGAGAGCAACCAATTCACACCTTGGAACTGAATTTGTAATAGCTTTGAGAAAACACCTCTTGTGACCCTATCTGTCAGATTAAAAAAAGCATGAAATAAAAACCAAAATAWATGTTAAAAGGAAACTTACCATTAAACAAGTCACTAGAATGACGAAGATGCTGAGAAATATGACCACCGCATAAAATCCTTCTTTGCTCCAGATTTTGTCTGCTTCATGCTGGTCTTGCAAAACATTTTTCTTTTTTAATCAACGAAACAAAAAGAGAAAAAACGTTATATAGAGTGGCTTGTGCAGATTAAATAGCTCTTGCTGGGCATTAATCACCCTCCTCAGCTATGTCAGCATTGCCRCTCCATAGCACAGGGCATGGCTTTGAACACTGCTATTGGAACCGCTGCCAGCACTGTGTGGGGATCCACGGYCCTCCGTGGCTGCCGAGAGAATCCTCCACCAGCCGTCACAGGCTGGCTGAAGGGAAAGCAAACAAGACCCAGTGCCTTTCTTGGAAACTCCCTGGCTCGTCAGGTCAAAGGGCTGCGCTCCACGTGGGCTTTGGGAAGCACTCAGCCTCCTCTTTCTTCCAGCGCTCATCTCCAGCCCCGGCCCCGTGTGCCAGCCTTCCCACTGTTTACACCTGACACGGAGCAAAGAGCGGGCCACTCTGGTTTGCCTCCCTGAGCCGGAAGCCCTCACACTGTCACTTCTAGATTGCACGCACGCATACGGAAAAAAAATATTGATTTTGCTGAAAATTATCTCATTATCTGACTATCTATAATTCTGATTATGCTTAATCTCATTATCTTTGGCTTCCTGCTGCTGGAACATTTCTGAAACAGCTGTGCATGCTAAAATTTCCAGAACTCCTGGGGAACTCCTGGAGGTTATGAAATAATAATGATTGTAAAAGCATTTATTTTTGTCTTTATTGCAGCATTGGGACTTGGCTGGACTATTAAATTACCAKAATTTCACTGTGTTTTCAAATAGAGATTTGGTAGCAAAAACAAAGTACATGTACCCTCAGTCTAACTGCAATATATTATTTAGAATAACGAATGTTGTCTCATGTTTCTGGGACCACAGTTCAGCAAACATTGCTCTTCCAATTTTCAGCTACTTGCTTTTATTTTCTTAAATGTGTATTTTCAGTAGAGTTCTGAGACTGAGCACAACCAACTTTCTAAAATTCTAGTTTCCAATGTAATTGTTCAAGGTCTTTGTGTTTCCCTCTTGCTGAAATTCCCTAATGGCTTTAAATAAACCCCTTGTTTAACCACTGAATTGTCATCTCATCCCAATGTGGGCACATATTTTTCCTCTCTGGGAATGTTGTGTAAGAGGACTGGCAGCTTATCACAGAGGAAAGAGTTCCTCCATTTAAACCTGAGCTCAGTGGGTCGGTGCAACTGCAAGTACCTTCTAACACTTAACAAGGGCACATCATGCCCCAGCTTATGCTTAACCTCCAATTAGTCTACTCTTTTCCACAGCCAATGTATCAAGCAAAATTTGTCTTCCAAAAAGGCAAAGCCTCCAAAACCCAAGCCTCTTCAACATCCCAAACACAGAAAGGCCTGATGATGATAAATTAATGTGGAAAAGCTTCCTGAGGAGTGAGAAATCATGGCGTGAGGAAGAGGAAAGGCTGACAAAAAAATCTGCTGGGTGCTGGATCCCAATATAGTTTTCATGGTCCTCCTTTCAGCACAGGATTGTGCCCTGCTTGTTTTGAAAAGGACAATGCAAGATAATTCACAGATACAACAGCAAAAAATGCAAACATTTAGAGAGGAATTTGGCAGCATGCCTAATTTACAGAGACTTGCCTGTTTAAAGAAATGCATGTGTACTCCAGTTCCAATCCCATGCATAACTGGGATTTGACTGCTTTAGAACTATCAATCATAATAAAGAGGAGTCTTCTTTGGAAGTAATAGTCCTGGGGACCAGTATGGAAATCCTACAGCACAACTAGAAAAACCAACCTTGTAAAATTAGTATATTTGTGATTGTTTGTAATCATGCAGTGTTTCATGGTCTCAGCTTTAAAATATTGCAGGTATTGACAGATTTAAAAGGCTTACAAAGTGTCTGTTTGATGTTTAATGAGTAATTTAAAACTAAGGGCTTTCAAAGAAAACCTGGAAATTTTGCCAAATAGTTCTGCAAAAACTGCTCCTTTCCATACTAAAATACTGCTGCCACTGAAGTGGGGTGCAGCACTCTGTGCAATCTGCTACGTCAGCACAGCAAGGTCATTCTGCTGAGCTGATGGCATAGGACTTGGTCCCAGTGCTGGCTCCCAGCCCAAACCTGCAGCTGCTCCACATCCAACACTGCTCCTGTTAGGCTCCATGGGAACCCCAGGGCCACACCTRCAGCTGTGGCCCATTAGCCATAAACTCAGTGTTTGACCCTGAGTGGGTTACCTGATGGCTTTCCRGTGTGTCATATCTCTCAGGAGGAAACTTAGATAAAAAGCAGGAGCTAAAGGAGAATTGGCAGGGCTGAACTTTTGTAAGTGAGTAAATGGGGTGGTTAAATACCTCTTCACTGAAAGGACAAATACACTGAAAAGTAAATGAAGAGCTTACAGGATTTTTAGTTACAGTGGATGAGAGACTTAAATAAACTTTAATCCATAAATTACATAAAACCTTTATAATATTTTATAACAGACTTCATACACATAACTGAGAATGAAGAGAATAAGAGAAGACTCTAAGAGAATGAATCTTTATGATGTCTGTCTAGTGCTATGTGGGTTCAGGATACGCCTTTCCCTGATTTGTCTTTCTAACAATAATGTTCAAAGAATATTAACAAATGCTGTAAAAAGGGTAAAAAACATATACCACATCTCAAACTTACTTGACACACCATTTTGAAACACTTCAGTAGTACCTACACCCACTCAAGGAAATCTCTCTCCTAGATCTAACTGGAGATCAAAATCATTGCTTAAGCTGCTTCCTAATGACTGAAGAAGCTGTGACCTCCATTAAGTGAGTCATCTCACACCCATGATAAGGAATTGCTTTCTGAAATGTCAGTGYTTCTCATTCAGAACTTTGTTCTGTTGTCTGGGAAAACTGATAAGAGGGATAGCAACTGCCACACTCACTACAAATTGCTGATGCTCAGGAAAAAAGCTAAAGGGATGGCCAAATGCTAGTCAAAAATGACAGGATTCTTGTCTACAACCATAGGCAATGAGTCTCTTGCAGGGACATGTGCTGTGTTTCAACCAACTGACATTATTCCACATTTTTCTCCTTAGTTGGAAACTTTTCCTGCCTAAGAATCCACTAAGACTTTCAGATAGTTTTGAGGCTGGAGGATATAGTCAGACTAATTTGCATAAATTTGYAGCTAATAAAGGTGGAGCAATATCAGAGCAGATGGAGTAGCAAGGGAGTTCCAGTAGCTCAGGCTGCTTCAGGTCCTAGAGCAAACAGGGAGGAAGGCATCACTTCCTAGTATTTCCATTCCCTAAGGAGTCTCCACAATCAGGCAATTTCTTTCAGGCAGAATGAGCCAGGTTAATTCAAACTGTTTAAATTCAGCGTAATTCAAGGTGTGGAAGAATCAAATGTATTCTTATAATGCCATTCAATCACTAATGTTACTGAAGAGTGCTTGCACACAATGGTATCTGCTTTTCTCTGAACTGGAACAAATGTGTTTTTCTAAACTATTTTTATAACCTTTATTTTTCTTTAAAGCCACTAAAAATCTACTCTGGATTTTCTGGTCTTACTACGGAGGAATTGTGGAGTATTTCTACAAGCAAATAAAATTAGCAGCTGGCTTTTGATAATAACAAGAGAGACTAGACCTGAAGCAGTTATTGTAAAAAAGATAAAGAAAGATACTGCTGCAGTACTAGGACCTGCCAGAAATGGTAAACTTTCAGTGGAAAAATAGGTGAATTTGCAAATTGGGTCAGTTAATCCCAATTAGTCCCTTGGGCTGAAACACTAATGAGAGCACAGCAAGCTGTAGCTCTGAGCTCAGAGGAAAGYTCACAGGGAGCTGGGGATAGAACTCAAGATCAAAAAGGGATCATGGAAGTTCACTGAACAGCTTTGTTTTTTCTGCTATTTTAACTATGTTAGTTAAGGCACATTAGGAAAGGCTGCCAACAACTTACTTCCACCCCCAGTGAAAATGTAGGGATGTGTGTGACCTCTCAGGCTCACAGGACACAGGATAACAGCCAACAAACCATGCCTCCTATGACAAAGCCTCCCCARGGCTCTGCCTTAAGCACATGTGTGATGAAGTGCTGTGATGCCACATCCAACTGCCATCCTGCAGGGCTCCTGCTCTGTMTGCAGCCATACAGGTGCTGCACACTACACCAGCCTTGCCTGATCACAGGAGCATGTCCTTGTGCTCTGCTTTGTTCCTAGCTGCCTCTGTTGGTCCAGGCTRTTGTACATTCTAAGATATTGGTTTTGATCACTTGTGCTTACAGTGACTTACAGTTTCTGTATACTCTAAGTGCATGATTGCTTCCTTTGATTTCTTCTCTATTATGTTCATATCACACACTTCAAAGGCAACCGCTTTGTGCAAGGAGGCATATTTTGTTACATGTTGCGACTGTGTACTTTTGGTATGAACTGTGGAAATTTCTCCTTCAGTGACACACCTCCAACTGGCAGTTAGCTTAACTCTCAAAAGATAGTAACCCTTATTTTCTTCCTGTAACTTCAATTACTTTTGTCATTCAAAACCACTTCAAGTTTTCTTCTATTCTAGTAAGCTCTGAAATCCAGTAGTATGGGTTTTTTTTACTCAAAGCACAATTTAAGGACATTAGGAAGCCAGGATTCCTGTACCATAATAACAGACTCCTAAATCCTTCAATTTAGTCCTAGCATCAAGCACCAATTTGGTACTTTGCTCTGGAGCAGTCTGCTCCTGACTGTGGTACATCCCATGGAGCAGAACTTAATCCAAAATCCCACTTCAGATACAAACTTTAGACTATAATAAATGAGCAACAGCTATGACAAGCCATTGGAAGAGCAAGGACACATGAAAGATATTGACATTGTCCTGGACCTCTGAAATGGCAACAACTCCTTTAAATTTACACATTCCCACTGTAACACATCTCATTCTGCACTAGGCACTGAAGTACTCTAGTGGTTCCCACAGCAAAGACATGTAGGGAAACTGCTCTTTCAGCTATTGCAGAATAAGAAACTGGGATCATWTTGAGACAGGCAATTTACTTGAAAATAGATCAACCAGTGATCAAAGCATCAGCAGATGTGCAAGCAAATTATTTCTGTAATGAATGGAAATGTAGTTCCAGGTATAGTATCAACATTCACTAAGACTTTTGCTGTTAATGGTAGGGTATGGGGTGAGACTTCGAGCAAAGCAGTTTTCCATGGGGGTTTTCCTACCTTTGGCCAGGCTAATCTCCTGCATCATTAAACCTCTGGGGGTCTAGTTTACACTAAACCTTGTTAAAGAATCAACCAAGCAATCTCAGGAGAAGTGTCTTACGGATGGCATGAAATACCTGTCAAACACACCTCTCTCTCTGTGGAGAGAGAGCCAGCAGAATTTCAAGACTTAGTCAGCTCTTACTGAAATATAGCTGAAAAAGGAGACAAATACCAGCCCTAACACCTTTGTGTCAGCCACCCACCTAGAAAGATGAAAAAATGCTTCCTTTGTGCACAGATACATTGATAGTACATTGCACATGCAATACTGGTTGTGAAATATTCATACTTTCGGTGGAAGAGTGTACAATTTATTAGCTCATGATTTAATCAGGATTGATAGCTCAGGAGTACACACACAGAGTGGGTAAAATAATGTGTCAATGCTATGTAGGCTTTGTATAACTATACCTTCGTTCAAAGGTTTGCCTGCTTTGTTTTGGTTTGCTGTTACTTTGGAACAATTTGTTCTTTGAGGAAGCTGAGAGAAAATAAGTGGTTAGCAGCTGACCAAGTAAAGATTATATGTTGCTGACTTTTAGGCGTTGTTTTCTGTGTAGTCTTASCCATGCAAACCATTTATCGAGATCCAAAAGGAATATCTATTAGTGTAAAACTGCATTATTTTTCAGGATCAGTTCATTAGCTGTATAATCTGTATAAATTTAAATATTAAAATAACTTCTTGTATCTCCAACAGTATTAGAAGGAGTTAGGGACTGCACAACTTTCAATTTTCTAAATTATTATCTACATTTTTTTCCAGAAAGAAAATAAAAATATCTGAGTACTCCAGATTATTGAAATGTATGTAACTCAAGATGAGTTCTTGAGTTCAATGCTTGTTTTTTTGCCAGCATCTCTTCMTAGCTTGAAGATGTTTCTCCATTCATCTATTATTCATATAAGTTCTTGCTCCATGTCTACCTGAAGTGTTATTTGTAACTGAAGTATTTGGAATAGATAACTGCATCTATCCCAACCATCAGACTCGTGCTTCAGATACACAGGAAATTCAGACCTAAAGGAAGCTTAACTCAGGTTGCTGATGGGTGATATAAAGACTTGATTTGACATTTGGACACCACTGTTTTGCTTAGTTTTGTATTACAACAGCTAAAACTCAATAATCTGAATTTTGATAGTGTCAGGTTGCTGTAGTAGAACACGAACTTACCTTGTTTCTTTTTTTTTTTTTTTTTTAAACAAAGACGTCTAGATTCTTAAGAGTTAGAATACTTGAAATGAGCAAAGCAATTTCTAATCAATGGAAATACAGCTAGGCATAATAGCCCAATGGTCCAAACAGCAATGTCTCAAACATTGCTTTGGAACCTTTTTACCTTAGAGGAAAACACAGCTCATCAGAATATTTATTTTTTTTCCCATTTTTTTGGACATGGACATCTCCTGTGCCAAATTTGGAGTATCTACTGAAAATGCTGATTCTTTGACAACATGATTGAAGGGGTTTGGCCCCAAACTGTATTCTGAGGGTCATTATATGTACATAAGGGCTTCGGGTAAGACACTAAATAAAATGCAGTGTGATGTGGCCGTGTCTGTGACCTCAGTGACTTTTTTTCCTAAAGGCTTTTGCTTTTTTTTCCTTTTCTGGGCACAGTTTAAATGATCAGCCCAGAGTCAGAAGTCCATCTCACTGATACTGTCTCAGACAAGCTGCAGAGATGACAATGCAGTCTCTGCTTTGAAATGAATTTTTTTTCCAAAAAATGGATGAAGTCATAAAAATAACAGCTACAAATTTTATTTTTACCCTCTTTTTGGAGCAGGTAAAGAACATAAACCTCTTACCAATCCTGAAAACAGAAAGAAGCATGGGTGTAATGTACAGATTCAGTTTTCCAAAATCATGTCAGACAAGTTACATGGGTAGTAATGGGTAGTAATGGTACCACCTAATATCTGCATTCCTTTTATTTCTCTAAATTGTACTTTTCAACCCCATAAGTAGACACTTATGTCCACTTCTTTTAGGGCAATTGGTGCATGCTTAGGATCTAAACTCTGATTTCAACATTAGCTCATCTGTGTGATGAGGATCTGGATGTTAAAAAGTAAGCAGCCTAACAAAGCACTACTAAAGTAATTTAACCGGGCTAGTTGGATGGGGTTCCAAGCAATCTGGTCTAGTGAAAGGTGCACCAGCCCATGGCAGAGGTGTTGGAACTAGATGATCTTTAAAGCCAGGCTATTCTAGGATTCTGTGATTGCCTTAGAGTAGTGATACCGTCTTAGCTTATACATTTTCTGCCTCATGCTCGAGAATCTCAGCCTGAAAACAACCAAGGATGTAACTGCCTAATCATTATCAAAATAATAAAGGTTAGAAAACTGATAACCAACCTCAGGGGAGACCTCTGTTATTCCAAACTGGGATAAACTTTGATGCAAAATGTTGATATTAAGGGAACGCAGCACTTCTTCAGATGGGAGTGCCTCAGAAATTCCTGGCTTTGTGTTCAGTGGAGACACAAACAGTTCTACACAGTTCTTCTTCCCCTAGGGAAAAAAAAAAGCAGAATCATATGAGGGGTCTGACATTGGATAATCTCTGTTGTGTGTAGATTGCAATTATAACTCCAAAAACAAAAGCATGGAATATAAAGGTTGTAACCTGCTTTGTGAGGAGAGCGTACCTTTTCCCTGTCTCTATAAATCCCAGCAGACTGTGGAAGAAAATGCATATCCTACACATGGGCATGTGTGCTTTTTCTCAATCACTATTGACAAGGAAGAATTTTCCTGGGTCTAGTACCATTAAACTATCCCTGTAACACAGCGATGGGAGGATTCATGGGATTGGATCAACGACAGTGGGCCAGCAGGGATTTTAGCAGACAGTTTATCTGATCTGAGCTGAAACAGTAATGCTTAGCATAACGCTGTGATATGTGGACATTGCTTTCTAACCCCTTGTCAACACATTGCAGACACATCACACAACAAAGTATAAAGTCCTTTCAGTTGACTGCAGTACAACTTATTATGGCACAACAAAATTAAAGGACCAGTAAAGTTTTATAACACTTAATGAGTAACCTGAGAATGTCTACGCTCCTATCTATTAATTATTGCCCTGGTCTTTGACTTTGAGGCAGTCCTGGCAGCCTAAGATGTTCTATATTAGAAATGTCAGTGATGATCACTCTGTTTCAAATTTGCAAAAGGAAAGAGAGTTCCTCTGTTCCTCTATGATAGACTGGAACAGCACCCTAGACCAGTGCTCCAGACAGCTCTGATGTCCAAATAGGTTGTGAGAACCTTGGCTTCTCAGGGCTATGGCCAGTATAGCAAACACTGTGGGGTCCAGACCTGGGGTATTCCACACACATGAGGTAGGCATGGGCTGCTCCTTGCATTGCTGCCTGTGCTGACAAGACCCTCACCAGTCTGGTTATTTACTATTCATCATTATGGGATGGGAGAGATCAGTTCAAACTGGGATAATCCTGATTTCCCCAGACTCCTTCCCTTCACCTTGAGTGTGCATCAGTATCTCTACCAAAGTGTTGAAAAAGACATTTTCTGCTATTCTTAAAGTACCTTYGCATAAAATACTCTTTTCATAAAATACTCCTTGAGTGCAAAACAGAGTTGCACAGAAAGGCAYTTTCCAAACATATTTGCCCTAAATTTGCCCTCTGTGCTCTCACATGTGCCGTTGGTCCATCTGCTCAATAAGAATGGTAAGAACACTGGCTACTGGTGGGACCTGAAGAAACTGATTTAAGGCTATGGTTCTACTCAGTCTCTGACATGGTAAGTGTCTGGCACTGGGTGCAGGTCGCAGGCACCAGGAAAGGCTTGGTGGGTACGCAGCATTCTCACTGTTTTGTGTCTCCTCTGTTTAGGCATTCCTCTGCCCATTAAAGGACCTTTATGGGAGAAGGATGTATACTGGAAAGGTTAAGGAKACACTGGAAATACCCAGTTAATATTTCCTGGCTCACTATGTGTTGTTACATGTAAGGGGTTATCAGGCTTTCTGCTCTCCCTGTGCCCACCCACATCCTGGCTTCCAGACTCCTCATCACTTCTGGGAGCTGCTCACTTAGAAGTGAGTCAGCTTACCTCACTTCAGTTGTCTAAACTACCTCCAAAAGTCAGCAGAGAGAGGCTGRCATCTCTAGAGAATTATTTAATCCATCCTAATATAATCGGAATGGATCTCAATGCTTCTCCTTCTCCAGTTACCATTCTCTATACTGCTTTTACAGGGAGACTAGATAAGCAGTTTAGACTACACTGAAACAAGGCTGAATTTTGAATTTTGATGTGCTCTGTTTGCTTGCCAGCACTCTCTGTGAGAGGAATTGTCTCATGTTAGAAGGATGAAAAGTGGGAATAGTGTTTCCTAAGATGCATTTGTCTTTCTTGTGAATGCTGACTGTGATTTTTGGAGCAAATAGGGCAAAAGTTTGCTTGTTTTCTTATATCACTGAAATACTAACTCATAGAAGATCTTTACAGGTGTTGACAAGACTAATCAAATAATAGTAGTTACCATATTCTGGGCTATAGGCAAGTGCAAAACATTATCTCTTCCCTTAGATCACAAATGAGAGGAGAAAGCAAAAAGCAATGGAACCAGTAAGAAAATAAACAGCATATTTATTCTGTTTATTTACATAATTTCTACAGAGCATAGTAAGAAAGCTACTGGATGACTCAGTGTGTTGAAATATACATCTCAGACTCCATAACATTTTTCATTTAATTGTGCTTTTCTCTGAATATGTCTCTAAACCTTTCAGTCTGGTCCATGTGGGGGACAAAGGAGATTTTGTATCGCTTGTCAGAAATGAGTGACATCCCTGAAGAACATGAAAAGGGCTGCAGTGCATTCCTATTAATCTTCCTCACTGTATTTTTGTGAGATCCTTTCTCACACACTATTTGAAAGAGTTTTATAATCCTTTTTGATGTATACAATCCTATCAAGATTTCAAGGCAGAAAATACTTTCATGCTGAACCTGTCAGGTTCTTCTCTAATATTCAACTTGTGTGTAGAATAAAATAACTCTTTTTTCCTCTGCAAAATGAACTGAAGGCTAGAAATATACACATGATGTTGGGTTTCCTTGCTTCATTGTAAAACTGTCATAAAACCACAAGTGTTAAGTGTACATACACAGAAAACCATACAATGACAGATGATTAAAAAAAGTCAAATTTGCTAGAAGCAAATTTATTACCATTTTTTTGCCAATAGGACACCATAGTCTGCAAGATCATTTCTAAGGACAGATTATTATAGCAGAATAACAAGGTATGAATATTAATATTGTGAGATGACATTTAATTCACTAATGGAAAGTCTGAAGATTAATTGTGAAGATGACTTTGAAAGGAAGAATCACATGTACTTTTTGAGCAATATTCAACCTTTGAGGAACAAAACATGGTTAATGTGTGAATGTGAAGAAGAATTTCATTGGAATGAAAACTAAGGGATAAGGAATCTGTTTATGAATAGGACAAAAAAGAGATTTATCTGACTTAGCTGAGAATGGTTTCTTTTCAAAAGAAAATTTAAATAATTTTGTAATGGGGATCTATTTTTCTGTAGTGCAGCTGAAATAATTGAATAATAAGTATTTTTCTGTCCTATTTAATTGTATTCTTCCATAGGAACAGGAAAATAAATTGAAGATAATTTAAACAGGTACACTTTAATACACACAGTCTTTTAGTACTTACAATGAGTCTGTTGATATGAACTTGTTGAGGTAAAAGTCCCAGTGCTGCTGCCACTCCTTGGCGAAATATCCRAAGCAATGTGATATTCAGCTTGTTTACATCCATTTGCAATGTCTGGGGAAAAAAAAAAAAAGAGTTCAAATGAACTCCTTGCTCAAGACATTTAGTTCTCAAGATGACTGATCTCTGGGGCTTTTCACTAATTGTTGTTGGGTTTCCTGTAACAATAATCTGCATAATCTACATGCCTCACAATATATAAGTCCCAAGTTAAATTTAAGTACCTAAAATGCTATTCATTAGCAAAGTTCCACATTCATTTACTCAAGTACACTCAGAACGGCTTCCAGACAATTTTGGCTTAATTCCTTGGACAAGTCAAAGTGTTAAAGATAACACAATTACTATCTTAGAAATGTAAGTCAAGCATTAAACATCAATGCATCCTTAAAGAATGAGATGTTGAGTTTGCACAATGAAGATTCATTTGTTTTAGCACATCTCCCTTAAGGTGAAGAATGAGTCAGACATAGCGAAATCATACCATTTTAATTTTGATTAGCAGTTTCTGAGATCAAAAATGAAACATTCTGGATACATTCCCCATAACTGAATTTCCTAAAGCTTCCTCATGCAAGTCACAGGATGAGACAAACTGTAGCACTGAAGCATTTTCTTTAAATATGGTGAAATTTACAAATTTACTCAAGTTCAGATCCTCCTTGTGAAGTCAGTGGAGTTTCATCCAAGAAATCATTTATATTCAAATCTTTTGTGTCCAAGAAGACCCAGATACTGGGTGTTCACATGATGCCTGGTAGACAATACTTCCATGTGGTACTTTGGGGTCTGCTTATTTGCATTCATATCCCTTTTGCAGACAGAGTGGAGAAGAGAGGAAAGATGACTATGTTAGATGCCACAGAAGGATTCCTGTGCTTCTGGCAATTTCTGACTTAAGAAGTTAGTAAGTTCTGCTTGAGCCAGTTGACTTCAGATTAAAAGGATTTTTTAGTTTTTATTTTAAACTTCCGATTTAGAGCCATAAGCCTGCTTACTGCTCTGAAGAACCGACCAAGTATTCTTCCTACCTAACCAGAGCTGCATAAAGAGAATTAAATATCCATGGGTCAGATATCACACTAAGAATATGGTTATGGTTCAGAAAGAAAGGAAGCATTTTTCTCAAAGAAAAGCAACATCACACCTTTTGACTGTTGTTCTTTATCAGTATTTATAAGCTACGACGTAAAATCACAAAATGTTTGCTTTCCTTTTACACCATCAATTTATTTTTTCTGTCAGTACTGAGTGGTTTTCTTTCTTTTCCATTCCTTGTTTCATTTTTTTACACTACTGGGATTGTTGGGTCTTGATGCATGAGATTTGTTCTTACCATACAGCTGAACTTTAATTCAACCAGGTGTATTAAAGAGTCTTTAATTTAAATTAACCTTTCTACACTGGCGTTTTCAAAATGCAAAATCTTCTCTTTGCTTCTTCTTGAATTAGACAGATGTACTCACTGGTTACAAAACTGGTCCAAATTTATCACTGAAATAGAAAGATGTCTTGAGAGGGGATATATGGAGGTCTAACAGATATGAGCACTTTTTCTCCTATATCCCAGACTGACTCATGGAACACCTGACAAGAATTGGTTTGGAGCTTTGAAGCTATCAGTGTACTGAGACAGCTTGGTCTGAAGATCTTGAGTAAATGAGAAAGGAGATACTGCTGAAATAGAAAGACTGTCAAGAGAGTCCCCGGAGATCCATCAGGATGGCATAAAGAGTGTCTAAGCTGGTGACCCTGAATTATGGGGATAATAATAACTGTTGTTACTAAGCAAAATTAGCAGACATAAAATCAAAATACATTCTTTGAAACATACTTCAGCCAGGTATCATAACAGATTAATAGAGATATTGTTAAATAATGTGTCAAGACCTCACTGATAAGAACATCGAGCTTCAGAGGAAATAAAAGATCTTAAAGAGCCTATAAGGAGCTAATACATTCCCATAGATTTAGTATTCTGGGATTGTGGTTGATCATATCCAGGACAGTAAAATATGGTGAAATTCCATTGTCTTCAGGAGAGTCATATTTCCACCTACCAGGTCTGAATTTGGTCCATTGTGTCCTTTAATTAATATTCACCCAAGGCTGCAGTGTGGGTGTGTAACACCTACATTGTCCTTCGTGGTTCTRGGGGAAGCTTGAAGACCCCAACCCTCTGTCAATCTGGCATCAGCCTGCTTAAAAATCTCACCTGGCCTTGCAGCCAGAGATTACAGGACCCTTTTAGAAAACCTCCTAAGTGGATGGGAAGAAATTTGCCCTTAAACCTTATCTCAGGATATATCTTGGGCAGCTATAAAGATTTTCTTTTGGTGACTATTCATATTCATCAAAACAAACCCCAAGAAGCAACTGAGGAAGAAGTATCTCATATTTGTTATGTGAACCTTGCTTTGTTGTCCATTGAAGGGATGTGCTTCTCGTTTTCTGCTGTCAGTGTGAATCTTAGAACCTTAGCAATTACAGCAAAAATTAAGTAAGAGTATTATAAGTCACCTTTTTCTACATCAGCCAGTACACGCAAGTGCATTTGACTCTTCCTGTCAAAAAGAAAGTAAGCAATCCAGAATCTGTCACTTCAGGAATGGAATTTCTAACTCAATCAGTGAAAGGTAATTTACATAAATGCTTGATGGGATCCTAAGAGCACCTGATTTTGAGTGAGGACAACATCACAAGTTCTGTGCTCTCTATTATCCTTTTTTGGTACTGTACTTATTCATAAAGGAATAAAGCAGAGGTAGACTAGATTGGACACATGTCAAGTTCATTATACTGTGGCTAATTCAGGGTGCTTATGGTAAATAACAGGAACAGGGCAGGATTACAGTCTTTTCCCAAGTCCCTTCTGATAAGATCATGGCTAATTTATGTCAGCATAGGTAACGAGTCTCATCAATTACAAGAACATTATCAGACTGGTCTGGGATGATGGCAACACCTGRGGGCATTAGGGTCTCAATTCTGGCATGTGTTTCCTGAAGGTGACTGAAATTTAAGTATGACCTGAGGATCCGGTGTAAAATTGCCTTTCTGCAAATGCTTAACTATAACAATTTTTGTTGGAAAAAAGTTAGTTAGAGGGGGAAAAAAAAGAAAGAATATAGAAAAGAGAAAAGAAAAATAGTCATGTTTCTATCAGAAATTTTTCAAAACATAATTAAAATGTAATATTTTAATATTATTGTGCCATTCTGACAGCATGCCTAGTTACTGTTTTGACTATAGTTCCCTAAGGTAAGAGATTAGGATAGAAACTGCTAATGGATGAAGTAAAAATGCAACAACCCCTGTACATTAGACAAACAATATCAAGTGTCATTATTAAGAGAATCACTCCTACAGTGGAAATCTGTCCAGCCATTTATGGGTTATAATTACAAAAGMAATATCCTTATGAGCTCTAATACCACCTGCAAAAAACTGTGAAATTAATCCCTGTAAAGCAATCCATCTAAATAAATAAAACAAAGCATTAACATAGATACACAAGTTATGTCTTACTGTGTTCCTCTTGCTTTGGAAAAATAAAGGGCTGAAGCATCCCAGTAAAACAGCACTGATCCTTTACCTTTGCTCATCGACAGTGTTTATTATGGATTGCAACCACCTCCCTAAGGAGGTTGCAATTTTGAATCCTCTGCCTCTGCTGGCAACAGCGACTTGTTGAGCCCAGAGGCGAACACCCTGGACGACTCATTTTCCTGAGCAATTACCGACCTGGATATTGCAACTGTAGCAATGGTTTCTAGGTTTCTCTGATCCAAGTGAAAAAACCTAGCCTGAAGTAAAGGGGTTTTCGGCTGGTAGAGGAAAACTTGGAAGACAGAGTTCCAGAAAGGGAAACTCAGCACAAAAACCCACCAAAGATTATTCACAACTGACATCCTACAGGGCTTTTAAATAAAGATCTTCATGCTAAAAGGACAAAAAAATCACTAACATGAAAGGGAATGTGTAACATAGAGTCTGAAGTAATATTTTTTGGATATTACAATAAATCATAATTTGCCATGTCAAGTTCTGCTTCTCAAGAAAAATACAGAGAAGCATCTCTTTCTTWGATTTTCCTTATCATCAGTTATATCCTTTCTGCAATGAGCTTCAAATATATGATCCCATTTTTGTGCATTGTTGCTCCTCAGAAAGCTCCTTCTGATCCTACCACCACAGGCGTTTTCTCAAACCGCCAGCTAAACTGATTATACAGAAAAAAAAAAAAAAATCAAGGATAAAGAAGATTAAAGGTGAAAGTACAAATCTTTACTACACTTTTATGAAAAAAAGATGGAAACTAAATCAACAAATTATGCATGCTAGGAATTTTACATACTTAAGGGCTGCTGAGTTTAGAGTTTGATTTTATGCTAAAACAAAAATAAAAATAAACACTCCTATTTAGTCAAGCCAAACGAAAGAGAAATATCAGAAATGAGTTATCTTTACCTGCCCCAGTTATTTTTATATGTTTAAAAAAATAAACAAAAATGCTATAAAATGTGAGGTTTTTCTGCACTAAGGGAAATACTGCACTGTGGCCAAGCTGTGGGTCCCTCTAGCCGAGCGACCTGCTGTGCTGCCTGCACAACGAGTGTCCTACAGCTAATTGGTGTCACAGTGTTTCATGCTGTCACTCTCACCAGATAGCCTCAGCTGTACAACCAAAATAAGGATGTATTTATCAGCAGGCAAGTTGAAAGTGTTGCAGATGTGTTTGTACAGTTTGCAGGACTACAACAAATATGGTGAACAATTGTGAAAATACCTGCATTTTCTTTCTTTTCTTTCCCCACAACAGGGGTATTTTCCTTCTGGTCGCCGTTCAATATTAGAGATTGCAGCTGCACTGGGCATCAGGTTAGCCCCTTYGGCTGGTTCAGGTGCCTGATACACATCCACAAAAGATTTTGGCTTTTCTAAAATTATGTGAGGCATGTGTCACAGGAACTTTAGTGCCTCATAAAGTCCATGAATCACACGGAAGGCAGCATATCCCTAGCCAGAATAATGCAACTACAATAATGCCTTTT